GCTGCACGCAATACGGTATCATCACATTTAACAAGGCCAACGCACACTCACTGAAAAAAAAAAAAAAAAAAGAGGTGTCTTGCTTTTCGGAGAAGCGAGTTCTTTTAGCCGGTTTTCAAATTTCTCCCATGTGATGCGGGAATGGGACCCCCTAGGGACTGAAATAATTTCAAAGGCGTGCATTGATAGTCCCGCTGCAGCCACGACAAACTAGCTTCACCGCAAGGCATCCCAGTGAACTACAACCACTCCTACAAGAATCGAAAGCAATAGAAAATGAGATATGGTGCAGCGTTGCAAGGAGTGCGCGCGCGCACACACACACACACACTCACACACTACCGCGGCCGCGGCGGGGCTAAGGGCCGTCTCAGAGCTAAGTGAACCCATCCTGTCACAGGCGTAAAAGGCAACTCGACTTGGTGTGCTCCGCCACACACCGCCAGGGCAGCGACGCTCCCCGCCCCACGCGGAGCCGACAGCAGGTGACGTTAAAATACTTGCGCCAGAAATAGTGCAGTATTTTTATATTTGCGTGCTCGCCCATCGACTCATACGGCACAGGGAAGGCAGGCATAGTGGCCATCAGAGAGATGTGGCCGCCAACTGCACTGGAGAATTGAAATGTAAGAGACGGGTCTTTGATATATGGCACGGCGGGCGGGCGAGCGAGCGCTGAGTTGGCGGGCTGCGGAGACACACACACTCTTTCTCTTTCCAACATCGCTTTTTCCTACGCCACTACTTCCGGCAGGCGCAAGACGTCGTCGCGGCCGTGTCGTGCGTCGTCCCCGTCTGCCCCCCCTACAACGAGGCCGAGCAGAGAGCCGGGCCGGGTAGGTGTGAAGCACGTCGAGGCGTCGAGTCCACCCCCGCTGAGTCACAGTCGGGCCTGTACCCAGTCTGTACCCTGACCCGGGGACCTCGACGCGCGGTAGGACGACAGCTCGTCCGCTCGCGCCCCCTCGCCCGTGAGCCTCCTCACTCACGCTAATGGACCGCACCGTTCGTTAACTGGCCGTCGTCAGCCGGACGTCCAGGGCGACGAATCCGATGTGACGGCGGCGCGGGGCCCGCCGAGCCCAACTTGGACCGGCGGCCGCTGCACTCCCCGGGCGAAAGCAGGTGATCAATAAGCAATAATCCGGTCGGTAATGAGCGCCGAGACAGTTAGGCCCCCATCATCAGGGCCAAAACAAAAATTAATTATTATTAGCGCCATCGGCGTATTTTAGGACACCCGCGGCCGACACACTTCCGTCCGGCGCGCCAAAGGTAAACAGACCAGCCGGTGGGAAGCTCTCGGGGGGAGGTCCAGCCCGCAACATCAATAACAAGGGCCCGGACAGACCGGCGCATCTCGCCGGGGCTGCCGCCAGAGTTACTGTCCAGCCCCTTCATAATAGAGTTTAGCGAGGCTGCGGCCGACGCACCCAATTCTTCATGAGCAAGCGCGGCCGGCGGCGGTCCTCTCGCGGGGCACCGGAGCGGCCCTCGGGGCCGCGGCCGCGAAGAGAGAGAGAGAGAGAGAGAGAGAGAGAGAGAGAGAGAGAGAGAGAGAG